AACCGTTATGAATGAAGTTGTACGTTCATACGCTACTATAGGCCTAAGAAGAAAATGCGTAATGAGAATATCAGTTTTCGTAATTTCTGTTCTGAAAATAATTTATAAATTATGTAATATGCAAGAAAAAAGAATCACACACCGGCTGTCGGTATAAACACGAATATCTAGCTCTCGGGTAACTGTTTAGCGGAAACTCGGCAGAGCCTTGTTACCGCCGTAAACAGTTACGCTCGAACTAGATATTCCGGTCTGTACCGGCAGCCAGTGTAAAATTCTTATATAAATACACTTGTTACTATATATAGTAACAAAATTGCCTATGATATCAACTGATTATGATTGTCCTCGTGACCGATTATGAGTTGGCGGCCCCGTGCTTAGAACTCATTATCAGTCCGCTGAACATGTGCACAAACAGAAACAATGACGTCATAGCTTACGTCATCAAACAGTTACCTGTTATTTTAAGCACGAATCGTTTGATTTTATCATGAGAGTTTAAGCGTATTTCGGACAAACACATTTTTTTACTATTGGAATTAAAGAAATGATTCTTTAAGTAATAATTTTTCCAGAAAGAGTTCATAATACAACACCATACAATCCTAGAAACTCAGAAGACTTTGCAACTTTAAACAGACGGACTCATATATTTTCTTCTTCTTTTGTGCCTTCGTCCGTAATGCTATGGAACAACTTGCAACCTGAAACAAGATCTGTAGAAACTGTGTCACATTTTAAATCTCTATTAAAGAAATCAACCTTTCGATCTACAGACACTCCAAAATGGTACCCTACAGGTGAAAGAAAACTCTCAGTTTTACACTGCAGACTGAGAAATGCATGCAGTAACTTCAATTTCCACTTATTCTGCAATCATTCGTCACAAGATGCAAATTGTTCATGCGGTTATGAGATAGAAAATGTTAACCATTTTTTGTTTACTTGTCCGAAATATCGAAATGAAAAAATTGATCTTTTTAACGAATTAAGGCAATTTCACCCTTTAAATGTCCAATTACTTTTAGTTGGTAACAAAGAGTTGTCTTTAGAAAATAATAATAAAATACTTTTGTCTGTTCAGCATTTCATGAAAGTAAGCAAACGCTTTTGAAATCAAACCAGCACAATCCCAATAAATATTAATGTATTTTTCTTTCATTTTTGCAAAACAACAGACAAGATTCTTTCCTTTCTTCTTCTATTTTTTTCTTTCTACATTTCATTTTCTCAAAATCTATTTTTGTTCTTGTTATATTTGGCAAATGTATGTACATGTTTTCTAAGTCATTGTAACGCAAATATATAAAAATCAGTTAACATCGTTAAATACCATTCAAGCTAGAGAACATGTACACCCAATCATTTTTATTGTTCTTTCTTACCTAAAATCATTTTTAAAGCCAAGTACTATATATGTGTGAGTTTTGTTACTTCTATCTAACTGATAGTCATTCTTGTAAAATAAGTTATTGTAATTTATTGCATCAGGGAAGACCCGTTGTTAATGTTGAGAGAACTGAAAATCAACGCTTTTGCCAAATATGTCATGTCATTGTATTGTAACTGTCTACATGTATGTATATGTCTTATTTTTGGCAATAAAATATGTTTAAATCAAAGAAATGATACGACAAATTTGTTCCGAAAAAAATTAAAATTAAACTTGCTTCTAGATTCTAGTGTACTTTGTAGACACAAAATGTAAACAACTCTGTAAAAAGTTACAGTGCTGAGTACAATTGAAATACAAACAGTAATTTCAACAAAAGAACTTTCAAAGTATTTTTTTTTAGAAGTGCTACTAATAGATCTACCAAGTGTATTAAAGACATTAATACACGTAATAGTTGTGGCAGAAGGTGATAATCTGCACTGAAATGATAATGCCCTCGAGCTGAAGCCTTCCGGACCTACTCTGCCGTGTATTCATAACAAAGAAAATAGCTCCTAAACCCAAAATGTTGGAACGTCCGTCCATCCGTCCGTCACACTTTCGTGTCCGGACCATAACTTTGTCATTCATCAAAGGAATCTGAAAAAACTTGGCACAAATGTTTGTTATAATAAGACGATTTTTCGTGTGCAACAACCAGACCCCTACCACCAGGGTCAAGGTCGCAATTGCTCATTCATAGTCAACATTGTCTATCTGAGGGTATATGTCGTGTCCGGTCCATAACTTTCTTATCTTTTCATAGATCAAAGGATTTTGTAAATACTTGCTACAAATAGTCACTATAATAAGATGATGTGTCATGCTTAACACCTGCATCCCTACCTCCAAGTTCAAGGTCATTTTTAGAGGTCAAAAATTAACATAGTCTGTTTTAGGGTATATTTTGTGTCCGATCTAGAACTTCTTCCGGATTTTGAAATAACTTGTCACACAAATTGTCATAATAAGAGGATATGTCAAGTACAACACCTGCACCCCTACCTCCAAGGTCAAGGTTACACTTAGAGGTCAAATGTTAACAGAGTCTGTCATATGGTATATTTTGTGTCCCATACATAACTTCTTCATAGATTAAAGAATTTTGAATATACTTGGCACAAATAGTCACAGTGATAAGATAGTACGTCATGCGTAACACCTGTGTCCCTACCTCCAATGTCAAGGTCACACTTAGAGGTCAAAGATTTACATAGTCTGTTATAGTGTATATTTTGTGTCCAGTCCAGACTTTTTTCATAGATCATGGAATTTTAAAAATACGTTGCACAAATAATTACGATAATAAGACGATATGTCAGGCGCAAAACATGGGTCCCTATCTCCGAGGTCACACTTAGAGGTCGAAGATTAACATAGTCTGTAATAGAGTATATTATGTGTCCGATCTATAACTTCTTCATAGTTCAAATTAAAAGATTTTGAAAATACTTGGCACAAATAGTAACAATAATAAGACGAAATGTCATGCACAACACCTGCATCCCTACCTCCAAGGTCAAGGTCATACTTAGAGGTCAAAGCTTAACATGATGGATTTTTAAATTCCGTGTTTCATTTTTATTTCTTTAATAAATTTATTGTTGCATTTGCAGATCTAGCATTGATCATAATTTTGGACTCCATAACTCAATCGTTTGAAATAGCGAAATTTTACGCTTCGTATAAAATTTCCCCGAGGCGGGGGATGTTGGTAACTCTGTTACAAATTATTGTTCTTATGATATGGCATCCATCTTTGAAGCCGTTTCATTTTTTCCAGTGGTGGCAGATTGACACAGCCTGAATTACTTTCAATGCAAGTCTTTTCTGCAACATTCAACATAGAAAAAACTATAATTATTCAATTCAGAAAGGCTACCTCCGTTTAATAACACTAGAAATAGGTTAAATCCAGATTTAAATGGGACCTGAACAGATCATATCATATGAGGATTTTGATTGAAATATGTGTGACATGTAATCTCTACAATTATCGACACATCACGCTAGTTCATGGATATGTTGATATGTTATCTAATGTATTATTACACACAATACACATCATACATATCAATATAATTTATTATTTTAAGAACAATATCCTATGAGACAAATAATTGAATATAAAAAATAATTTTAATAAATTGAAACAATATTCTTACAATCCTCGTGATTTTTTCACTATAGACAAAGAAGAAAAAAACCGGTGTTAAACTGCCAATAAACACTAGTTAAGTGCCGGACGTAATCTCCGCTTAAAAAACATAACATTAGTGATCTTCTTTATATTATCTTGTTAAAATCGAAACAATATCGGTCTGAGCGGTGGTTACAGCCTTCGTGGTCAATTCCTATGCATCAATTCTCCAAACCGGTGTTTAAAATTACAAGTAGTCCGTCACCAGTGTTGATTGGCAGTTTAAAACCGGTTTTATTCTTCTTTGTCTATTGTGACAAAATCACAAAGAGAGTTAGAATATACTATAATGCACGAAGAATCAATATCTATTTCCATTCTAACACGTCAAGAAACATATTATAATTATTATATAGTTGAACTTTAGGTTTGTTGGTTAAATTTGTTTTCGCCTCAGTTTCCAATAGAAACGTTCTTTAAAAGGCTTTTCCAGTGTGTGTAGAAACATTTTGAGAATAACAAATTTTGAAATCGTTGATAAAACTGTGTTTATTTATTTTATTTCACTTTATAATTTTCAAGCGAACGCCAAAGTATTAATAGTGAAATAAATGTGAAATTAAACTCGTTAATTTGCGACATTAAAATAACGTTCTTGATTTGATTGTTTTTGTTAGTGCTGTTTGGCGCTACATTGTGACGTCAAATAAATCACGACTGAATTTAAGATATTCGTGTTTGGATTCTTTTTCTTAGTAAGACCATTTTCTTACATTCTAGATAGTTTTCACAACGAAAAAAATGTTTTTTTTATTTATCAGTTTTTTCGAACAAAATGGCGCCGTCAATGTGTCGGTTTGAAAATACAATGGGAGGTAATAAGAACGGCGAGTCCATTGTTGTAGAAAAATGCACGCTCCCTTCTTTGTTTATATAGAAAAAAATGCGATAGTGTTAGAACATAAAATATCACTAAAATTCATTCTCATTGATTGTATTTTTATGATCGATCCCAAAGTGCGGTCGTTTCAAACTTGACACCAAAGTGCGTAACGCACGTTAGGGCTGGACCCCAAATTACCTAACGCATTTTGGGTCGGACCCCAAAGTGCACTTGACCCCAAAGTGCGTTGTTACACTGCTTTATTTGAACTTTGTGACTAGTCTTTGCTACATGCATTTTATCTTCCAAGCAAAAATTAATAGTTCTATTTCATTTATATCTAATGTTTTCATTCAGTAAAGAATAACTTTGTTGTTTTGTCTTCCTCCTGTATAAGAATAACTTTTTTTTTAACCAATTATTCTTAATCATTTGTCATTTCTCGTCCGAATAAGATTAAAATTTCCTTTTTAATTGAAACCTTGGCTAACAAATAAAGAAACGCGCGGGATAACGAACTGTTTTCTCTTTGTTTTCAGGACATATGCTTTGACTGAAGGAGAAAACGACAGACACACTGCCACAGTTAATAAACTGTTACAATTCACCTCTTTTATGTTAAACGAGGTAATATCTGATTTCCATATGTCTTATTTATCTCTCTTTTATCTATATATAGCGCAAATGACGTCACTTCAAAGTGTTATTACACTAGTGTAATATCGTTTTTATTAAATGGCTTTATAACACACCCGTGCCGATTTTGCGACTCCGTAAAATGGTATTGCACGACCATGCATATAATTATTTTGATGTGACGTCATTAGCGGTATTCAAACATAGTGTAAAGACTTTTTGGGGTATGTGATAAATAGAATATTAGATGCGTTCAAGTTCATTGCTGAATTTATTGAACACGTTGAATAAAATAATGTTATGCTCGCCAGAGGCTCGCATAATGATATAATTTTATTCAACTCGTGCAATAAATTCAGTATTGAACTTATACACATTCAAGGGGGAGAATCACGCCGTTCGTTACCCAAACAAACAAGATGGCGGATGCAGCCGAAAAGTAAGTTTTTCCCTTTCTTCTCTGAAATTCGTGATGTTCTTGTGTAAAGGTATATATAATAACCTTCTCCACAATTTTTCGGACACTCAGGGTTTTATTTCATGATGTTTTGTCCCGTACTTCTTTTGAAATGCGCGTCACTAGAATCGAAGCGAGAGAATTTTTCCACCGGTTTGATCGTGGTAACGTACGGCTCCTTCTCTCAAATTTACTGTTTCTTTTACAATATGTATATTTACTGAAACCACTGTCTTTAAAAAGTTGTAATATGTCGTCATCTAAGCATCCATGCCCATTCTGGCTAGATTTACTGCTGTGAATATTAATATCGGGTCATTTTCCAGAAATGATAACGTATGGCGCACAAAATATCAGTGATAACGTACGGCGCATTTTTCTACTTGGTGGATTTCCATTTGTTCAGTCAGCTGATAATGAATTATTTGTATGCAGGAAATGATAGATATCTGAAAAAAAATTGTCAGTTCAGAAATAAATAATTGAACAATGCTGAATATGAATATCTTTCTAGATGGTGGCATAATAGATATTCGTTAGATATAGATATACACTTACCTTTATCTACCAATAAAAACACACATGCATAGTTTGAGAATATTTTATTGTATAAAATTGAGAAAGGAAAGAAAAGCCTCCACTTTCAGGAAATATTTGTGTATTGCTGTCTTCACATTATATTAAAAGTGATTGCAATTAGCTTACATCCAGATGAAATGAGTCTGTGTTTATTCAATCTGGTCGCTCATTGAAGGAAAAAAAAACTTAACAGAGAATAATGAAAGACACGGATTTATATTTGTAATATAAATCCGTGTGAAAGAGTGTAGGTTCTATATTGAATTTATTGAATGAGTAAAAAATAATGTTATGCGAAAAAGTTCAATAAATTTTGTAAATAGGAAATTTCCTATTTATTTGAGGGGCGGTTAATATTGAAACGCTACCATTTAGCGTGACGTTGAGCCACTTTGACGGCAGATATTTGCACGACCTAGCCATGCATATTTTTATTTTAAATGAAAGGAATATCGTAATTTGATCGAAACAGTTACATGCAATTCATGAATTTGCCTATCATATTCTGGCGTTTTTTTTTCGACAGATGCCCCAACAAAAACAATCAATTTCTTTAAAAACAAATATTGTAGGTATCAGCAATAAAAGAGTGACATGAAATTTGCTTATTAATTTCTAGTGGTAAACATTTTACCGACTATGAAATATAAAGTTTCAAATCGGATTTGGATTTCGATGTTATTATCCATGCCGGAAAACCCGTCTGAAGCCTTTAATGCCAGACTGCTCATGCGCTCAGTTGACGTCATTATCTTTATGAAAGAACGGTTAAAAAAATATCTACGCTACTATGATAATAGTATTTACAAAGCTTATGTTAGTGTTCTTCCGTGCTGTTCTACAGAAATAAGAAACTTAGACGTTTTTCTACATTAGTAATAAAATTATATTAATTGACATGCAGTATCTTTTTCACCAAGACGTGTATTTAAATCTGAACTGCATGTATATCCTTTATCTGTAAATACAAAATTAATATAGGTTGGCCTTTTGACGTCATTTTTACTAAATAAATATTCAAAAATGGCCCACGAAAGTGCATGTGCAAATTTATGCAAACTACTGTTTTAACAAACGCGGTTATATGAAGCACTATGACAAATGAAGACGACTATAAACGGAATTTGATGTAGTATCGACTTTTGTTCTTCTATGAAAATTAACACACATAAGTTTGAAGAAATTGTACAGCGTTTCCATTGGATGACAAATAAAGTTGAAATTAGAAATATTTTCTCCGATCGCTATCGCTCCTGTTTCTAATTTCTGTAGAACAGCATGGATGAAAACTGACACATACATAGATATTTGAAACTTGGGGCAGTTTCTTTATTTGGTTCTACACATCCTTTTATGTCTGGAAAGATCTGAGCAAGAAACATAACTTTTCTATCCAAAACTAACAGATATCACGGATTTATATTACAAATCCGTGCAGATATATAGAAAATATATTAAGCAGAAAAATGCGCCGTACGTTATCATTGATATTTGTGCGCCATGCGTTATCATTTCCAGGAAATGCCCCGATATGAGTATTTAAAGCGGTTATTCTAGTCAGAATGGGCATGAATGCTTAAATGACGACATATTACAACTTTTTAAAGTCAGTGGGTTCAGTAAATAAACATATATGTAAACGAAACAGTGAATTCAAGAGAAGAAGCCGTACGTTATCGCGATCAAACCGGTGGAAAATTCTCTCGCTTCGAATCTGGTGACGCGCATTTCAGATGAAGTACGGGACAAAACATCATGTAATAAAATCCTGCGTGCCCGGAAAATTGTGGAGAAGGTTGTTATATGTGCCTTTACACTAGAACATTACGAATTTCAGAGAAAAAAGGGAAAAACTTACTTTTCGGCTGCATCCGCCATCTTGTTTGTTTGGGTAACGAACGGCGTGATTCTCCCCCTTGCACTTTCAATATTCTCTATATATTTCACCGAGTAAGTACAAAAAGGAATATTTCACGAGTGGCACAGTGAACACTTTTTGTGTTCACGAAGTGAGATATATTTTGATCTTTCACTAAAATAAACACATTTTCTTTTTATTATATATGCAAAGAAACGTTTAAAGAGACATGTTAACCTAATACTAAATGAAGTTGTGCCAAATAATAATACAACGTGTCGTCATTAAGTTGATTTCCAGAACTATGCACGCTGGTATTTCACTGAAACAACAGACATAAATCGAAAACAGAGAAAGTATCAAATTGCCTATTTCACTGTTTCAAACAGTGAAATATCATTTTTATATTTCACTGATATATTTGTATAAACAACCCCAAAACATGTAATAATTTGTTATCAAAATATTTTAATTAAGAAATCCATTCATAGGTAGTCCGAATAACTTAAATATCTGCCAATGACTATTATTCATTTTAAGGCAACATCTTGTTGCTCCTGTCTATTTTATGTTCAGATCAACTCCCACACTTGATGTTTAAAGCTGCAGATGAGCCAAAAATGTCAAGAAAATTAAATATAATTGATGAAGGAAAATGTTCTTAGATTTTAAGAAAAGTAAAATAATCAATATTAAAGTAATGTTTTAAAGTAAAGTGCGGTTAATAACTGATCAAAATTATTTTTTCTACGTGACTTACTCATTAAGGACAAATTGTGCATATTTTGAATTATTTTTGGTCATTTACGTGTACTGTTAGTGCCGTTTGCAATGAGTAAATAACTTTCTTTGTTCGCTTCATAATATTTTACTTTCAAAGATACTTTCAAAATAATCGTTATAATTAGCATGCAGCATAGCGCTTTAAAGCTTTAGCAAGCCATCTCTGTTTCATTAATAACAAACGACATACATTTATTCATACACTTCTTATTATAGCTACATTGAATGGTATATTTGAGGTATCTATATTGTCATGTTTTCATCTACCATATTCGGAGACGGAACCACCTTAAATTTAGCAAATTTCAGTCATTTTAATGGCACATTAATCAAGTACCTTAACAGGGAATTTTAACATGTGCTATATTAAAGAAATAATATATTCAAAACAGTGATTTAATCGTTCAATAACATAACTGTTTGGAGTTCGGATTCGAGGAATTATACTACGAGGGCGAAGCCCGAGTGATATAATGATACGCATCCAAACGACAAACAATGATGTTATCAAACGATAAAGTCACTTATTTGAATAAATTATTTCGATTCTAACACGACATCAACAAATAAATACTGCCGTACCTAATATTAAGCTAAATTGCGCTTGAATTGCTTCCGTACTTTTTTTCATTGCGTCGCATTTTTAGTGGTTAAGTGACATGCATAATGATAACGTCGCATGTCTAAATATAGAACGTCAACAGTGATTTTATTGCATATTCTTACATCCCTGATGATTTTGTCACTATAGACAAAGAAGAAAAAACCGGTGTACTGCTTATGGACTACTTGTATATGAGCCTCTTATGTTTTCTCCCTCCTTTTAAAGCAATAATAAAAAAAAAACATTGTAACTAATATTTTCAGTTCTTATAATGTTTTCTTTTTCACACAATACTAAATTAATATCTCACGTATAAAGCCACAGATTTGATCCATATCAGTTAAAATAAATATTTTGACACCCGTAAGCAGCGTAATGACGTCATTCTAAGTACACAATTATCGTTTGTTTTATTATGTTTCCCGAAAAATTTCGGGGGAGCATATAGTCGTCGATTGTCCGTCAGTCCGTCCGTACGTCCCAATTCGTGTCCGGCCCATAACTTAGTTATTTGAAGTCGGATTTTAAAACTATTTCACAAAAATGATCACCGTATTGAGACGACGTGTCGCGCGCAACATTTGGGTCGCTACCTTGAAGGTCAAGGTCACAGCATGACCTTGCATCAAAATCGTGTCCGGTCCATAACTTCTTTATTTAAAGTAGGATTTTAAAACTATTTCACAGAAATGATCACCATATTAAGATGACGTGTCGCGCGCAACATTTGGGTCGCTACATTGAAGGTCAAGGTCACAGCATGACCTTGCATCAAAATCGTGTCCGGTCCATAACTTCTTTATTTGAAATCGGATTTTAAAACTATTTCACAGAAATGATCACCATATTAAGACGACGTGTCGCGCCCAACATTTGGGTCGCTACCTTGAAGGTCAAGGTCACAGCATGACCTTACAGCAAATTCCTGTCCAGCCAATAACTTCATTATTTGAAGTCAGATTTTAAAACTATTTCACAGAAATGATCATCATATTAAGACTTCGTGTCGCATGCAACATTTGGGTCGCTACTTTGAAGGTCAAGGTCACAGCATGACCTTGCAGCAAAATCATGTCCAGCCCATAACTTCGTTATTTTAAATAGGATTTTAAAACTATTTCACAGAAATGATCACCATATTAAGACTTCGTGTCGCACGCAACATTTGGGTCGCTACTTTGAAGGTCAAGGTCACAGCATGACCTTGCAGCAAAATCTTGTCCGGCCCATAACTTTGTTATTTGAAGTCAGTTTTTAAAGATATTTTACAGAAATGATCACAATATTGAGATGATGTGTCGCGCACAACATTTGGATTGCTATCTTGAAGGTCAAGATCACAGCATGACCTTGCAGCAAAATCTTGTCCGGCCCATAACTTTGTTATTTGAAGTCAGTTTTTAAAAATATTTTACAGAAATGATCACAATATTGAGATGATGTGTCGCGCACAACATTTGGATTGCTATCTTGAAGATCAAGGTCACAGCATGACCTTGCAGCAAAATCGCGTTCGGCCAGTAACTTCGTTCCTTGAAGTCGGATTTAACAACTATTTCACAGGGATGATCACCATATTGAATCGACGTGTCACATGCAATATTTGGGGTGCTACCTTGAGGGTCAAGGTCACAGCGAGACCTTGCAGCAAAATTGTGTCTAGCCCATAACTTCCTTATTTGAAGTCTGATTTTACAACTATTTCACAGAAATGATCGCCATATTGAGACAATGAGTCGTGCACAACATTTGGGTTGTTTTTACACTTTGAACTTTGTCTGTGACATAACTCTGACACTACAAGAGGTATACCTTCCTGTGTCCAAAACCTATTCGGGGAGCATCACCCGGTTCAACCGGCTCTTGTTATTTCTATATTTTAACAACAGAAGGATGCGAAATCGAACAGCGTTATACGAAAATCAGCACCGGGAGTAATCTCCGCTTGAAAAAATAACATTAGTGATCTTCCTTAATTTCTCTTATTAGAATCGAAATAATATCTGTCTGAGCGGTGTTTATCGGCTATTTAACACCGGTATTGTCGTTTTGGTGCGAAAAATTAACCTCTCAAGCCTACGGCTTTCATGGTCAATTCTTACGCATGATAAACACCGCTAAGACCGATGTTAATTCTTAAATAACACACACTTTTGGTTCTTCTATATTCAATAGGGAACAATGTGGGTCGTGTTAGAAAATATATTACATTTTTCAGGTGGATCTACAATATCAACTAATGACAGACTACTCGTATACAATTTCCTGTCTTTTTGCTGGAATTTTCATAGCTGATGTAAGTGTTCATAGGGAACTAACCGATTAACTCTTCGTGTTTTTTACATAGTTTAATAAATAACGACAATCTACAAATTGAAGCAGCCCTTACAAAAAAGGAACGAGTGAGACTTGTACGATATGATATTAGTTCCTAAGTGACCAATAATCTTAATTGTTCTCTACTTAGATGAAATTAACCATAAAATCCTAAGCCAACACAAATTTTCAAATTAATATATTTTCAGAGGCATTTGCAATTCATCCCTTTCGTGTGGCAGCGTGGCCGAGTGGTTAACGCGCCGGACTAGTCTTAGAATTGCTGACCGCTTTGGTTCAAACCATGTCAGGGGCAAGCCGTTGTTTCCTTGAGCAAGAAACTTTACATTCATTGCTTAGTACTGTGGTTCATGGAACGGATTCGAGAGTGTTACTATAAGCTTATAGCTTCCAAAACAATCGAACTAAAATAAATTTGTATAAACTAAATTATCCCTTTTGTGACATATTAAAAAAAAAGGATGTTTCAAATGTTACCACTTATACACATTCATGTAAAATAACCCTGCCCTGTCTGATATTTGTAGTGTAACGATAACCTGGATTAAATTCATGTATAAGATACCGGTAGGAAGTTGGCAGTGAGTAGTAGCAGTACTAGTAGCAAAGTTATAAAACATGAAATTGGCAGTAGTAGAGCAGTAGCAGTAGCAGAACATTTGCATTAGCAAATTTATAAAACGTGGTTGCACAGCAGTAGGAGTAGCAAAATTATAAAGCTTGAAGTTGGCAGTAGCAGTAGCAAAATTATAAAACGTGAAATTGGCAGTAGCAGAAGCACAGACGTAACAGTAGCGCAGCAGAAGCAGTAGCTAACTTATAAAACGTGAAGTTTGCAGTAGCAGTAGCACTGCAGTAGCAATAGCAAAATTATAAAACGTGAAGTGTGTCAGAGTGTCCGAGAATCAGTCGCAGACCAAAGAAATGAAACGTGTGCCTAGAAGTCAAACATGTCATAAACGCCATTGGCTATACAAAATTACTGAAAGTCTGCGAGTGTCACAGAATCTGGCAGGTCTTTAGAAGTCTAAATAGTCATTATCTGCATTGGTACCAAAATTCCTTAAAGTATGCGAGCATAAAACATTAAGTCGCAGGCCAATGAAAAATACACTTTAAGGTCCCTAGAAGTAAAAAAATCATTAATTCTATTGGCACCAACATACCTGAACGTCTTCAAGTGCCCCATACGTGCCTAGAAGTCGAACATGTCAATAAAACATTGGCAACAATAAACCCTGGAACTCTACGAGTGTTAATTTTGCTACTGCTACTGCTGTGCAACTATTACTGCCAACTTCACGTTTTATAATTTTGCTACTGCTGTGCTACTGCTACTGCCAACTTCACCTTTTATAATTTTGCTACTGCTGTGCCACTTCTACTGCCAACTTCGCGTTTCATGTGTCACATGCATCATTAGCCGCAGGTATCACGCGATGCACCATTTGTAGAAAATCATGTCTTATATTGTTATGAATATTTCCACACAGCATGTGTTATATGTATAATCATGCATCTGCCGGTATCAAGCCAAACCATGTCTTTTATTGTAATGACTATTACCACACATCATTTGTCTAATGTATCTTCTATCTGCGTGTATCAAGCGAAACACTATTTGTTGAAAATCATGTCTCATATTGTAATGGATATTCCGACGCATCATGCGTTAAATGTATCATATATCCGCAGGATCCAAGCGATTCGCGGTTTGTTGAAGATCATGTCATCAACGATGCCGGAGAAGCAGATGGTGACAAGATGCTATATGATTTCAGGAAATGGGGAGAGTCTTCATTACGTCGTTTTAATTATGACCATGCTGCTTTGCTTACAGGGTAAGGAAATGTTTCTTCTTTTTTCCTCTTATATTTAAGAAATAATATATCCCAAACAGTGAATTTATCGCCCAATAACATCACTGTCTAGAGTTCGGATGCGATGAATTATATCACGAGGGCGTAGCAAATATAATGCTGCCGTACGTGATATTTAAAGCTAAATTGCACCAGGGTTGCGTTTCACTAACGCACTTTCGTTATCAGAAATCAAGTTTGAACGTAACTGTTTGCGTAAGCAGAACATACGTTTTATTTTCGTTTCACTAAACTTTCTTAGCTATATATATATGCATTGCAGCATTAAATTTTGTGTAATTTTAAACGTTAAGTAACGCCCACTTACTGCTGGCGTAAGTTGCACTTTCTTTTTAGTGAAACGCAACTAACGTAAATTTACGTTTTGCGTAAGTCCCAAATTTACATAAAAAGATACGTTAAACTTACGTAATGTTAGTGAAACGCTCGTCTGGTTTGTTTCCGTACATATTATCAACAGTGATTTTATTGCATAATAACACACACTTTCGGTTCTTCTATGTTCAATAGGGAAAATGCGGGTCGTGTTAGAATTCTCAATATTTCATATATTTCTATAAGTATATAATAAAAAATACTATTTTTTAAATCTACCCTAATTTTCATTCAAAATGTTGATGGTAAAATTAAAAAAAAAACAAGATGACAAAAAAATAACAAAAAAACCCCCCAAAAAACCCGCTATTATTGATAGAAGAAGCCTTGTTGAAGAAGTTTGTAGGTAATGTAGAAGTTAAATAGATTTATATGGGCTTGCTTTGAATTCACGTATGACTTGTACATGCTCAGTATCTTGTAGTATTTTTTAATATTTTTTCAAACATGTTGAACAAATCTTTTCGAATTTAATACCATTCAATGTTAAATGTCGAATTATTATGAGCGTGCAATCAGTTTGGGATATATTATTTCTTAATTATACTTAATATTGGTGCAAGTCATGTACTCGGTAGCTTGCACTTTATAGTACAGCCCAAGGAATAAGCTCATTAAATCCGCGCTTGCAATATTTTCAATTTTGTCGTTTAAGACATTCTTTATGGATTCTGTTTCTATATTCTTCATCAATAACGCAAAGATTTATCCTAAAATATGTCAATTAAGCGACATTATTTACAATAGTATTTGTTTATCAAATAATTCATTACTGTTAAATACATATTATCAAATGAAAATGAAGGTCTATGTGTTATACTGTAAACCATTGAATGACAAATTTGGTTTTCAGGAAAAAAAATCATAATGTTGACACAATTTCATATTTGAATTAAATATGATAATATATATTTACTAGAAGCGGTTTTTGTTAGTAAGTACAACACCGAAAGTTACACTTATGGACCTACAAAAAATTCGTTTCCCTAAATTTCGATTATTTTAAGTCAAAAATCACCATAAAATTAGAATGTGTATTGTCTGAAACAAATGCGGTCATGTTTGTGCTGGTTCACCCTAATTCGATAAGAAGTAAACAAATTCTAGTTCATAGTCTACTAATTTTTATTGATATTTTGTTTTCTTTATATTTATATTTAGGCGCGATATCGGATATATACAAGATGGTAAATTTCATAAAGGACTATTAGGTATACACACTAATACATAGTAAAATATTGATTTGTTTTAATTAAATCTAATTATTTTTGTGTTTCTCAACACAACTGTGAGACTGTTATATAACTATATTTTAAAATACTCAAGTCCTGTTTACATTAATATAAGCAAATTAAGAAACAGATTGTTTCAGTTTTCAATGTTCGGAACTGGTTACACCGGTGCTAGGAGTCTGGGTGGTAGCATGCATTTACAATTTCCCTATTGTGAAACCGAGCCTGCAACTTTTTTTTCAAATTCGTCATTTTGAGTGCTCCTTAAGGTTTCAATTTTTCTATTTCATAAAAATAAATATATCTGCTTATTCTTTTTTGATAAAAAGTTATGATTCGTATTTTAAGGTGTTGCATATGTACCGTCGATTCCTTCAAACGGTGAACTGGGTTCTCTCGCAGTTTGTGGAGTTTATGCATATTCTATCAATGAAATGACAGCATTCAAACCGTCGATGGGAACTACTATCACACATGAGATTGGACATAAGTAAGTTTATCACACACCCGTGCCGATTTTGCGACTCCGTAAATATGGTATTGCACGGCCGTGCATATATTTTGACGTGACGTCATTAGCGTTATACAAACATACTGTAAAGACGCGCTAAATGTTGGCGTTATACTATAGGCGCGTCAATGAAAAATGACTCTTATTTCACTTTAAAGGGAGACACAGGCAAAATTTCATTTCCTAGTTTTGAATTTTTCATTCATTATTCTGTAAATGTCATCAAAATGAATACACTAAACAGTCAAAGGAACAAAACTTTTCTCCATATAAAGAATAAAATGGTGTTTTCCTAACTTGACCCGCGTGGGTCAGGTTAGAGCGCTAAAAGCTTCAAACCAAAAATATATAGAATTTATACAGAAATTCTTGCTGGGACTTTCAGAAATGTCATTTTAGTGTGATTTCAGTACACAAGATCCTTTTTATATTTTTGTCATTATTTTGCCTGAGTATCCCTTTAAACTGTATTTATTTTTGGTATGTGATACATAGAATATTAAATTCGTGTAAGTTCATTTCTGAATTTATTGCACTCGTTGTATAAAATAATATTATGCTCGCCAAAGGCTCGCATAATATAATTTTATTCAACTCGTGCAATAAATTCAGTATTGAACTTACACTCATTCAATATCCTCTATTAATTACACTGTTACTTGTTGTTTTTTTGTTAGTTTTTTGTAGAAAGTGATAAGTTAAAGAATTTCGTCATTTTTCTCTTTCTGTTTTATTTTTAACTTCTCGTACCTAAGTTCGTTATAGTTTATCAAATAAATATCAAAGGTATACAAAATAATGAAAATTAAATTCAAAAGCTGAAAATATAAAATATCAGAAATTCTGATATATCGGACCGTGGTGGCAGAGATCTCTGTACTGATGAGGGGAGATCACTGCGTAGGAGATTGGTTTAGTTGTACAGTTAATGGTTGCTTCCCTTTACTTGATATCCATTAATGCTATGTTATATATATGATCATACCTCTCTGATACCTAGGCATTCTCACTTAAGCTACATGCAACATAACATTGTTGAACTTTGCATATTTCATAGAGTGGTCAGCTACATAGTTTATTTCATTGTTTAATATTTTTCTCATTAATCGTTTCGTTTCGGTTTCAGTTTAGGAGCAGATCATGATGGTTCTGCAAATAGCTGTCCAATGGATATGTCATGTCGACCTATTTTCAAATGACCGCGTATTCATCCACGAACCAAAAACTTTGGCAGTTTTCGTCTTGTTCACAGACATATTTTGACACTTATATCACCGCTATGAATCATGCGTAAGTTTAAAGTTTAATTAGTGGTGAATATGATTAATTATCTTTATTTCATGCCTTCAAGTGTTTTACTGTAATATATCAGATGATTATATTCTGATAAAGCACTAAAGTCTGTCCCATCAAATTTGAACATTCCATTTTTAATTTAATAAAATAGTAAAATCATTTATATTAATGTCATGTTAACCCTGACGTCAGTATCGCTAGGCATGATTTTTTATTTTTTTCATAAAGTCGGTAATATGGTCAAAATGTTAAAATTATATTTTTTCCCGTTGACTTACGTTGTTACCTGACGTGACGTCCATTTCAAAATGGCGCGGCGCGTCATTTAGGGTTCGTCTCACAATTAGCGTGAAAAGTACTCGGTAATTATAAAAGAAATGATTATTCCTATTTACTTCCTGGTCAATAACTAAATGTTATCATTAAAATGAAATATGAGAACAAAGTTGATGTCAAAAAGGCAAATTTACTAGCAAACGATTATTTAAAATAATCAAAATCACTTGAAGTGAAAATATCAGTAACCGCGTATCTAATACCGCAACATGTCGTAGGGGAGTGGAAACACTTGCTAGAAGACAATAACAAATGGTTCTTCGCTAATTAATGTTTAATTTACATAATTCTGTAGTTATCTGAATTCTGTCCTTAGTATGTATCACGTCTATTAAAAAAAAAAAATTGACCTTTTTCGATTGGATACAAAAATTTATTTAATGCTTTCCAGTGTTTTATTACAATATATCAGATGATTATATTCTGATAAACCACTAGTGAAATTTATAAAATATAATTTTCACTGTAGCCGGACTATATCTGAATACGGATGAAAAGAAAATCATAACCAAATGGAATAACAGGCAGAAATAAATGCTGTCATACGTAAATTTGCTTAATTAGGAAAAGAAAGTCAATGTCATCATACATCATGTTAAAAATTTAACAAAATTAGAGAAATTTAACAGAACTATATTTCAAAACTTATGATGTGACGTCATGATATCATGACGTCACAAAGGAGAATGCGCGACGTTACGCGTCAAAATCAGTAAAAAAAATACTTAAAATTACTTAAAAAGCATAAAATAAAAAGAAAATTTATTTGTTTTACATATAAGATTGAAATATATTTCATTCGTGAACACCAGCTATTATATTTTCACTCGTGGCTACGCCACTCGTGAAAATATTGCATCTGGTGTTCACTCAGTGAAATTATATTTCAATCTTACATGCAAAAAAAAACAGCTATTATATTTTCACTCGTGGCTACGCCACTCGTGAAAATATTGCATCTGGTGTTCACTCAGTGAAATTATATTTCAATCTTACATGCAAAACAAACAAATATCCTCTATATGTTACCCTTCTTATTTCGGATGCGATGTTCGTGCGCTAAAACTTTCCGTAGGTTTCAACTTTCACAAGAAATCGCCCACAAATACTACACAAGAAATATATAGAAAGGAAAACTGATTCACTATACGTTCAGCATTGATTTGCTTGTTACCACAGTGTCTACTTTAACTAACTCCCTCGCTAACGAGAGAACACAGAAAATGTAAATTATAAGAATATAATATCATGCTTTATCACACACCCGTGCCGATTTTGCGACTCCGTAAATATGGTATTGCACGGCCGTGCATATATTTTGACGTGACGTCATTAGCGTTATGTATGGGTAAGAGTTCGTATTAAGACGACCGTAGGGAGTCTTATCGAACTCTTACCCATATAACTGCAAATCGGCTCTTACAACTCGATATCAGATAAAAATATAGAAAGTGTCACCTCTTTAATTAAGCATAATATTGTTTTTCCTCAGCAGTCACATACAGACAAAAATGGGGTCCAATTACTTAATCTGGCATGTAAGGCCGTGTCTACACCTATTCAAGTTTCTTACATGTCACATTTAGATAAGCTAAATAAATGGCCCTTTCAACATTTTTTCAGGCACAATTTTTTAAAAAACAATGAGTTTTCAACAATACCTAGGATTGTTAATGCAATTCATTCCTGTCATATGAAACAAAATAATGTTTTGCTTACTTTTTCTAGAAAATATAAACAGTCAGCAATTAATAATTGACATTTTTCTTAGAGTTAAAAGAATATCAAAAAGTTACTGTGTACTCATTTGTCTCTGCGAGCTGAGCACCACGTGTATTATCTATGTAACAAATTTGAATGTATCCTCACATTGCTACAGTGTTATCAGCTTTTTTAGAAACACCTGACCTGGCTAATAAAAATATGCCAATCACAATTTTCACTATCAGCACTGGTTTCTTCATGAAAAAGCGGCTACACTAATTACTGTCGAGTAAGAGCCGATTTGCAGTTATACAAAAAGACGCGCTAAATGTTAGCGTTATACTATAGACGCGTCAATGAAAAATGACTCTTATTTCACTTTAAACGGTCTTTATTTTTGGTATGTGATAAAAAGAATATTAAATTCGTGTAAGTTCATTACTGAATTTATTGCACTCGTTGAATAAAATAATGTTATGCTCGCCAGAGGCTCGCATAATATAATTTTATTCAACGAGTGCAATAAATTTATTATTGAACTTACACTCATTCAATATCCTCTATTTATCAAACGTATGCCTATACACTTCGTAAATAAGATATTTTCAAAAAATGTCACTTTTTATGTCCTAGAGCAATATTTTTATTTTATAGTTTTCATGGCCAACTAAACAATTAAATATGCGAGATATTGATTCTTCTGCATTATAATAGCCGAAAACAAGGCAGCTTGTACAATATTTGACAAAGATATGAGGAATCAAAGGCCTGACTTTTCCTTCCTGTTAAGTGTCTTTTAACCCAAGCGCCACTTACTTAGTAACAAATAAAATAATCAAATATTGAAGGGATATATGTGTATACGACATATTACTTTTTAAAGTTAGTACTCTTTTTTAAACTCTGCCAATCAAAAACATACTTTACATCTACCTTTTGTAAACTTTTTATCTTAATAACTTTTGTCCTAAAATGTTAATAGTTCTGACAGTAGCGTGAAATAGAACAAAAATACAAACTGATCCCCGCAATTGATGGAATAATGCTAGTCCCCATAGTGTGCAGCCATAGTGACGTTACAGTAATGGAGGTACCACGAGTTCAACAGACAACACTTGTAAAATAAAATTTAGTTTAGAAGTTGGTAAGTTCTTCCGTATATTTTCTTTCCGTATATACTGTTGCGCTATTAATTTCAGGAACATGCAGATTCAGAGAGAATGAGGGTTTTTCATAAAAAAGTATGTTAGATTCTATTCTCAGAAAACCATGCTTTCAAAAATTTGAGAGACGCTTGTTGTTACAGTTCAGTCTTAAAGAGGAATATATTCCCTACTGTTACGATTCAGTCCTGTTACGATATTTGTAACATGATGGATCCAAAATGTAACAGGATGTATAATACAGTGATCTTTAAACATTTAATCCTTATTGTATCATAGTTTGGGGACCTTTCTGTTGAAAAAGTGTCAGAGTTAAATCGTATACATATACATGCACAGTGCGGTAACTGGAGTGCAGGTATCAGTTACCCGCACTCCAGATCATGCCCGTTGATTGGCTCATTTTTGCTGGGGTTTACATATTGTGACGGCAGAGAAAGAGAAAGCGGCAGAAATATCATATTAAGATGCTCGATCATT